CTGTTCTTTGTCGTGGAAGTATCTTATTTCTCCATCAATTTTGAAGGACAGTTTTTCAGGGTACATCAGTCTAGGTTGGAAATCATTTTCCTTTAGGGTCTAAATACTTCACTCCATGCTCTTCTTGCCTTTATTGTTTGTGTTGAGAAGTCTGCTGTGATTCTGATAGGTTTTCCTTTATAGGTGATCTGTCTTTTCTCTCTGACAGCTTTTAATATTCTATTCTTTTGTTCAATTTCTGGAATGGTGATTATTATACGTCTGGGTGTAGTTTTATTTTGGTTATGGCTATTTGGAGTTCTATATGCCTCATTGATCCTGATATCAGTTTCCAATTTCATGTTTGGGAAGTTTTCAGCAATTACTTCTCTAAATATCCTCTTGACATCCTTTGTATTGTCTCCTTCTTTTTCATTTATCCCTATCAATTCCAATTTTTTGTAGGGTTTTTATCATGAATGAGTGTTTATCAAAAGCTTTTTCTGCATCTATTGAGATGGTAATGTGATTTTGATGGATCATTTTAATGATTTGCATTTGTTGAACCATCCTGGCATCCTAGAATGAATCCCACTTGATCATGCTGTGCAATCTCCTTGATTTGCTACATTCTGTCAGTGTGTTGCTGAGGATTTTCCATTTATGTTCATTAGAGAGACTGACCTGTAATTCTCTTTTTTGGTTGGGTCTTTCTCTAATGTTGGAACCAGTTTAATATTTGCCTCCCATTAATTTCCAATTTCATTGCATTATTGTCAGAGATAATATACATGGGATAATTTCAACTCTGTTGAATTTACTTAAGCATGTTGTGTGGGCAATATATGGTCTATTTTAGAGAATGTCCCACGTACAGAATATTCTGAAAACAGCTAAGTCCTTTTTGTTCACAAATTTGGGTCTGTTCTATTTCTTTGCTGATTTTTTGTCTAGTTGATCTGTCTCTTTGTAACAATAGGATTTTGAGATCTCCCATTACAACTATGTTATTGATTTTTTATGTCTATCAGTAATTGTGTTATATAGTTCTCCTGTATTAGGTGTAGGCATATTTATGATTGTCATCTTTTCCTCTTGGATTTCCCCCTAACAAGTATGTAATGACCTTGTCTCTTCTAATCATTCTTGGTTTGAAATTCACATTGTCTGCAAACAGAATAGCTACCTCTGCTTTTTTTTCAGTGTTCCTGTTGCATGGAGTATTGTTTTCCATCCTTTAAGTCTATGAATTTCTTTTTGAGTTAAATGTGTTTCTTGTATACAGCATATTGTTGGATCTTGTTACTTGATCCATACTGCTCATTTCTTTTGATTGGTGAATTGAGACCATTTACATTGAAGCTGATAACTAAGGTATTGGCTTGTCTTTGCTATGATGTTTTCCTGCTGTTGGTTCTCTGCTTCTTCCCTCTGTTTAATTGCTTGTCCTGCCTGGTGGTTTCTTTCTGTTTTTGTTCTTAGAACTGCCATTTACATCTCTGTCTAGAATATCTTCCAGTACTCTTTGCAGGGTTGATTTGGTGCTTACAGTTCTGTGATGTCCATGTTACATCCCAGAGACTGCTGGCAATGGAGCTGATCTTGGCCTCCGGGTGTGGGGGCAAAGACTGGTCCTCTGTGGGTGGAGTTCTCCAGAGCCCAACTGCTGGCTCCTGGCTGCTGACTCAGATGCTCCCAGGGTGCTGGCCTTCCTGATTACTTGGCCCTCCAGAGGTGTATGCACATCTGTGTGCCAGGCTGTTGTCCTGGGTCTTGGGGTTCCTGTTGGTTTAACGCTCTTCTGTCCAGCCCTGCCCTGGGGGAGAGGGGTAATGGAGGGACGCAGAGCAGGAACTAACTGACTTCCAAACGGTCCACCCTCTGGAATGTAGTCTCAAATCTACTTTCTAGTTTAATGATATTTTATTCACATGCATGTTATCTCCTGTTCGATGTGTTCGTTAAGTGTTTAATTTGATTTTACTCTCTGCCCCATTGCTCACCACCTTCTTCTTGACTAATAAACTCTGTCACACTTTCTTGTCATCTGTTTTTGATGCTACATACTAGGGAGAACATGCAGTAGCTGCATGTCTAAGTCTGGCTTATTTGCTTAACAGGATGACCTGTAGATCCATCATTTCCACAAAAATAATGAAATATCTTCTTCACGACTGAGTACTACTCCATTGGTATACATACCACATGGTGTTTGTCCTGTCTGCTCACCTGTGTAAAGGCAGCGAGGCTGATTTCTTTCCTTTGCTACTGTGAATTGTGCCACAGTAAACACGGGATGCAGATATCTACAGAATTTGCTGATGGTAATTCCCTCAGGTATAGACAAAGTGTCGTACCCCTGGATCAAATGTTAGCTGCATTTTTAGTTTTTTGTGGAAAACATAGTATGATTTCCATAACGGCTATACTAATCTATACCGCCATCAGCAAGGTACAAAGGTTCCCTTTTCTTGCATTCCTACTGGTGTGGTATGTATGTGTGCATGTATTGTACATACGTGTGTATGTGTATGTTTATTTTTGTATTCCTAAAGATAACATCCCAGGGTTGGGTACAGTCTCAGTGTTTTGGTTTCCATGTTCTTCCTTGCCGAAGACATTGAACATTTTTTCACACCCTGATTGGGCATTTATTGGACCTATATTAAAATAGACACAGTTTTATGCTTTGTTCCCTCTGTTTACTTGTAACTTCATTAAACTATGGTGGGAGACAGGATGCTAGTTATCTAGAGTGGGTTTCCTGACCGGTAGAGTAGTTTCAGGGCACCTAACTGAGCCTTGTGGAAACGCAGTGGCCTGGTGTTTGGACCTGGTTCCACAGTGTCTCTAGGGTCCCGGCCGAAGGCTGTTTCCTAACCAACTGCGGTCAGGCTCTTCAGCGTCACCCTCTTCTGCACAGTTGTGTAACCTTCCAGCAAACACCATCTGCGTTCCGTTCTGAGCCCCTGACATTCATGCTGTTTACTTTCTTTCCTGAGACACAGTCTTTCTGTGTTTCCCAGCCTGTCTTTTGAACTCCTAGCGTCAATAGATCGTTCTGCCTAGCCCTGCATTCACTAGGGCGCTAGGTGTGTGCCCCTGGCTGGCTGGTGCTGACTTATATTTGCGTACAGGAACCGTCCTCTTTCCAGCATACAGGTCATTGGGTGGTAACTGTGTAGCCGAGTAGCTGCCTCTGCCTTTCCATCCAGAACTGTCTCATTGCCCTGACCATTCATCCGTGCTCCTGCTTTCTAGTTCATCTTCCACATGCCATGCTATGCCAATCACTGGTCATCAGGAGAGCCTAAGCTTTCACTTGCTCTGCATTGGCATACTGGATAGATACACAGGCTTCGGGGTCAGACTCCCTCCGCGGCAGGAAGTGCCCTGGGGACGCACCAACGCTGTGGTGCCATTAGTGGTTTCTTGTAGTTTATTTTCATCACCGTGTAGTATTTTGGTGGCGGGATGCACCTTGGTCTATTTAGTCACCTATGAAAAAGCTTCTGATTGGTTTCCAGTTTTTGGCAAATAGGAACAAAGATGCTATTGATTTCCACCCAGAGGTTTTGGTTTAATAATTAGGTTTCAGACTCTATCAGTAAATACCTCGGTCTGGGAAATCTGGATCATATGAGAAAGGTGTGTGTGTGTGTGTGTGTGTGTGTGTGTGTGTGTGTGTGTGTGACTTCACAAGAAACAGCGAGGCTTGTTTCAAAGTCACTGCTGCACCAGGTCTTTTACTCCCAGTTCTATTTGTTTCAAATTCTAAGTGCCAGCCGCCAGTTTGTAATTTTAGCTTTCATGTTGGTGGTCTTCTGAGGCGCCAGTGCATCGCTGGTACCTCTCCATCACTGTTGGAATAGCCTTCTGCCCAATGTAGAATCCCGTGCTGCGTTTGCTGTCTCTCAGCATTTGAGAGACCCGGTCACACTAACTCTGTTGTCTTTTATTCCTTTCCTTCCTTTTTTTGTACCGGGAATCAAACTCATGACCTTGCGCTTGCCAGGCAGGCACTTACGTTGCTGAGCTGTATCTCCAGCCCCTCTGTTGCTTTTTCACACCATGTGGGCTGATGTCCTTAGTAAGTTTCACTGTGTGCAATACTTCCGGAGTGATTTTAAGACCTTTTTGTTTGCATTTTAGTGGTTTAAGTATGATGTACCTATGTATGTTCCTATTTATATTTTCATGTAGGGATTTGTTAACTTTCTTGGATTTAAAAATACACGTTTTATACCAGTGTCTGCACATTTTCAGCTCTTTCTTTCCTTCTTCTCATCTTTCTTTCATTCTGTTTAACTTTTAAAGCTGCATTTAGTTTTCCCGTCTCCCTTCTCCTCTACTAGGGAACCAGTGATTTCCCAGATCTCTGAGGCGCTGTCTGCTTTTTAAAGCTGTTTCCAGGTTGGACACTCTGGATTCTCTCCTTCGCTCCCCGGCCCTCCCCCCAGACCCATGCATGAAATTCCCGCAGACCCTGCTCTGCCAGCTAGACTCCAGCCTCCTCTGTGCAGAAGCTCCGCAGTCATCTCAGAGCACCACCCAGGCTTTGCACCTCTTCCCTAGAACCAAACCCTCCCGAGCATGCGCTTTCCCCGTTGAGGTCTGCCTGTGGCACTGCGCACTGGGAGTGGGCCCAGCTAGCCTCAGGGCTGCAGGGAGCTCTCCGTGCCTCCGCCTTCCCTGTGTCACCACCTGGACATGAAGGGCACTGCTGTGCCCCTCACAGGCTGGGAAGCTGGCACTCAAGAGGGAGGGGCTCTGCGGGGATGCAGGGAGCCAGCACAGAGCCAGTCCGGGCACGGGGCAGGGCTCTAGTCAGGCCGCACTCCTTGTCCACCTGAACTCCTGTACCACTCAGCACTCGCCAGGTCCCGTCATGCCAGGGCTCCTCAGTCCCTTCCTCCAGCAGGTGCTGTGGGGAAGGCTCTGCCAGGGGCTCTGGGCTGCAGCTGGACAGTGCCATAGGATGGGCAGCGTGGTATGAGAAGTGAACTTATCTAGATGCGCACTTAAAATACAGGAGCTGTTCAATTTTATTAAAATAAATGCTACATAAATGGGGGAAAGATGGAAACAGGAAAACAGGGAAGGCACCACGAGGAGATATTCCCATGGGAGGGACAGAGGGCCCTGCGGAGGAAGCCCCGCATGGTGGTGAGGCCTGAGCAGGCTGCAGAGGCCTTGCAGCCAGACAAGGAGCTGCCAGGTGGGTATGGGGTCAGGTTGGGTGGCTGCTGCCCTGCAGCTCCAGCTCGTGCAGCAGCACAGAAGGCGCTGGCAGCTCCTGCCCTCCCCCAGCTCCTGGGATCTGTCCAGAGCTGCTGCTGGGGAAGGCACTGCTGCACCTAGAGCTACTGGTAGAAAGAGAAAAGACTCCTGCAAGACCATCCTTCTCTGAGCCTTTCCCAAGCCACAGCGGCCCCCTTCCTCCCAGAGAAGCCCCAGGTGCTGAGCCTCCAGCAGGACCCCATCCCTGACTCTCATCCAGCCCCATGGGTGGTCCCAGCCTCTTCCTTTGCTCCTGGGCATCAGCAGCCTCTGGTGCCTCCCCCTGGTGGGTGGACATGATCTCTGCTGCCCCCCCACCATCCTCTGCGGCACCCACCCCAGTCTCCTCCTCACCCATGGAATGGGATCCTACTCAGTGGGCTCCAAGTCGGGTCGGGAGTCTGCACACTTGCAGGATGATATCCGAGTCTGGCAGGTTGATGAGGGCATAGGCCACGAGCTGCCTGAGGCTGGCCAGGCCTGGGTACAGGGCAAAGTCTCCCGGGTACTGGAGCAGCCAGGTCTCCAGGATGGAGCTCAGAGCCCTAGGGGCAGGTGGGCAGGAGAGTCAGGGGCCCAGCCTCACCACCTCCCTGCCCTAGCCTCCCCTGTCATGGAGCCTGAAGGGGGCAGACAGAAGCAGGGCACAGAGGGCAGAGGTGTGAGGTCAGGCGTGAGGGGTCTGCACCCCACATCTCTCTAGCAGCCTCATGCATGATGGTGTGGGCTCTCCTGGCTGGGAACAGGCTGCCTACAGATGCATTCTCATGGGGACCTGCTCTGCACCCAGGCCACCCTGGGTCCCTCATGCACAGGAGCCCAGTTCCAGGTCTCTGTGGTCCTCAGGGAGACCATGACTCAGATCCCAACACTAGCAGAAATGAAGAAAGAGGGTGTGGGCCTGCTATTTCTCAGGCTGCCCACAGCCTAGTTCCTCTGATGAACCCACTCTGCAGACGGAAACCCTCCCCCCTCTTCCCCCAGGCCTCTCACCTCTTGTTCTGCTGGTCCTCCTCAGAGTCGGGGTGGAAGAAGCGGTACCTAGAAGAGCCAGCAGGGTGTGACCTCTGAGCCCTCAGTGTCCCCAGCTGCCAGGATGTCTAGGGGACCCTCTGAGTGAGGGATGGCACAGAGGCAGGGAAGGCTGAGAGGTTTGCCTGCGCTGCTCTCCACATGAGGGGGAAGTGTCAGGAAAGGTGTCTGCCCATGGTAGGAGCTGTGTAGACATGTGTGTAGTGAGTGAGCCCAGCCAGCCATGCCCAGATATCTCAGGATGCCACTGGGATGCCGGGTCTCCTCTAGGGGTCCCTGCTCTGGATTCCCTGAGGCAGAAACCTGGGAAAAGGAGGCCCCAGCTAGACAGCTCCTTGGGGTTGACTGGGGAAGCCACCCAGCCCCAGAGCCCCACTCTGCCCAGAGCCAGGTGTGGGTCAGGTGCTTTGGGGCCTCAGCCTGCTGGGTCCTAACTACACCATATGTGTGTGTGGGCGCGCGCGGGGAGGGGGGGGGGAATAGTCCTTTAAGCACCCCATTTTCCACAGAGTAGACAGGGGCACAGAATGATACAGGGCATCCCCTAGAGCCACCCAGGAGTTGCTGGGTCCCCCAACTTGGAGGCAGAGCACACCTGAGGAAGAGCTGGTCCAGCACCTGCAGTGGAGTGGCGAACCTCCTGTAGATGGCCAGGAAGGCAGGTACAAAGAAGGGGTCTCTGCACAACTGGGCAGGCACCAGGTGGTTCACCAGCTTCTTCAGGGTGCCTGGCTCCAGGGTCCTCACCAGGCCAGCCTTCTCCAGCTTTGGGCTGGACTCCTTTCGTCCCTGAGGTGGCAGTGAGAAGGGAGAGGTGAAGCCTAAAAATGGTAGCCAGCTTTCAAAAGCTCAGCACCTCAGCCGATCAGCTGCCAAGGGTCCCCTGGGTTTTCACACACCCCCAACATACATGCTGCCCTACACACCACCCAGGCAGGGGTCTGGGCCCTCCCTGGTGGTTAGTAGAGTGGGCTGGCTGCCTCTGACCTGTTGTGGGCTGTCCTGTGTCACCTTTGGAGTCCTCGAGTTAATACGCCTGAGGCTCATGGGCCGACAGGTGTCCCACTGTGTCTGCATTTGGACAAGCCCCCACCCCACTGGCTCTTGTGGCCGGCGCCTAAGCCATCTGGGAGACAGCACCATAATATCCTCCTGGCTGTTGAATCTCTGCTCAAGTAACTAGAGGTAACCAGCCTCGGGTTCCAGGTTCTGTTTTGTGCGTTGTCAAGGAAGTGAGGTCACTTCCTGTTGTTCCCTTGCCCCAGCTTCACCTGCAAAGACAACCAAACCTGCTGGCTGCTCCCTCTCACTCAGGCTTTGCCTGGCTCTTTGCCACTTTGGGGACATCTGGGATTCCTGAGGGCACTGTCCTCCAGGTGGCAGCAGGGACCTTCTGCTTCGTTTGTTCTGAAGAGCTGCTGTGTCCTCAGCACAGACCGAGGGTCCCTTTTCCCTGCATTTAGTGCAGCCTCCAGAACCACAGCATGTTTGCCCCCCTCCCCGCCTGGCCCCAGAGAGAGGGGAGACCCATGTGTCCTACAGCCCACAGCACAGCAGCAGCCTGGAGGCTGAGCAGACCCTCAGTGACTGGTGCACGTTTTGACATTTTGTATTTCAGCAAAGGATTTTGCTTACATGGGTTATGAAGAATATTTTCTAAAAATTAAAGTCTATAGAATAAATCAGCGTTCTTTTGGTTTTGATTTGGAACCTATATCATCTTTTGTTTTTAAAGACCATTCATTTAATTTGGGGACATGATCTACACTAAGTCACTAATTGCTTAGCCTAGGTTTGAACTCATAATCCTTGGCCTCATCCTCCCACAGTGCCAGAATTACAGGTCAGTGCCACCCTGCAGGCTTCCTGCCACTTTTTTCCTTCTTCCTCTTATGTGACTAACACATGTAGCAGTGCATTAAGTGACATATTGCTTACATCCACGTAAATGTATCTGAAAGACAAAAGTGTTTTCAAAATTACTGCTTATTAAAAAACAAAACAAAACAAAAACCAACACCAGGACAGAAAGGAAGAAGCAGACAAGCGCTTCAGGCAGTACTGACCCTCCAGTTTAGTTTAGCAGAGGCAGGTTCGCTGATCTACTGGAAGTTGGGTGTGTGGTCCCAGCCACCCCCATTCCTCCAGGTACCAATTAGTGATGGGAATTAGTGCTGCCCTTACTAGGAAGATGTTTTCTAAGATGTGGAAACACATAGTTAGAAAATAAATTTGGAAGCAGGGCTTGCCTGCAAACGACGTAATGCGAGCTTTGAGTGTGAGCCAAGAGGGCTGTCAGGTGGGGCATTAGCGAATAGCAGGACCCTGTACGCATGTCAAACAACAAACACATGAAGTGTAGGGGTGGGGTGGGGCCCAGTGTGAATGCCCCGCTGGGTTCACCTAGAGCACCACACACACACAGCTGCTCAACGCTATAGCATTCCAGTTTATTTTCTTTTGAACACATTATCATGTTTATAGAAGAAGAGGATTTGGGGCTGGGGCTATAGTTCAGCAGAATAAGCACCTGCGTGGCAGATGCAAGGCCCTGAGTTGATTCCTGGTACAGAAGAGAGAGAGAGAGAGAGAGAGAGAGAGAGAGAGAGAGAGAGAGAGAGAGAGAGAGAGATTAAAAATAATTAACCCTAGAACAATTAAATACAGGTTTTTTGTTTGTTTCTTGTTTCCATACTCTGTGAGCCCAGACTGACTTAGTGAAATTCTGTCTCAAGTAAAAAATAACCAAAGGGCTGGAGATGTGGCTCAGGGTGAAAGCAGATCAGTCAGCCCCACTATGGCAAGCCAAAGCGAACAGGCATAGCCAGACAGGCTCTGCACGGTTGCCTCACTGGCTGTGGGTTCATGGGTACTGGAGCTGGGCTGAGAGTCAGGGCCCTGATCCCTGTGCACTCACCCCCTGCCAGTGTCCAGAGCACAGTCCACACCTGGGCTGAAAGGTCCCCACTCCATCCTACCTCCAGCTGTGCCTCAGTAATGGCCTTGAGGAACCCCAGAGGAAGGGTCCCAGCCAAGGCAGTGCCCCCAGAGTCCTCCTGCTCCATGCCACTCTGCTGTCCCCAACACATCAGTCGCCTTGGGACCCTCCTCTCCTCCAGTGAAGAAGCCCACTGGGGGTCACTGGCCAGTTCAAGACCTCCCGCCATCAACAACACAGCCCTTACCATGTCCTCTGTGGTTCCCAACCCACACTCCCTGCTTGGACCACCAGCTCCAGGTGCCACGTGGTTTACACGTCTAGATTTAAAAGATGCCTTCTTCTGCTTGCTGACTGCTCCCATAAGCAGCCCTTTTAGCCTTGGGCTGGGAAGATCTTGGGACAGTAAGAAAACACCAGTTCCTTTGGACTTCAGTGCCACAAAGTTTTACAAACTCTCCCACTATTTGTGGAGAGACTCTAGCTACAGATTTGGCCAAGGTTCCATCCCTTCTCTGGGACAGTTTGTTTCTCTGTCCCTTCCAGCCTCACAACCACATTCCTGCTTGCTGTCATGGTCCCCAAGAAAAGAATGGCAATCGCGGAATACACACAGACGAAACCAACCCAGAAAGTCTCCATGAGTTTGGGCCATCAAGCACCTGCCTTTGATTGTGAAACTCCATCCTGGGACAACCCCCACCAGCGTCAAAGAGTTCCCTGTGCCATGAGAGACTGGAGTAGAAATTCAACCACACATCCAGAGGCGTCAGAACCGTGAAATATTTATAGACTGTCAAACTGCTGATATACACCTCTTCTGCCTGCAAAGAAATCCAATGGGAAATATCGTCCAGTTCAGGATCTCTGAGCTGTCAGTGCCACCATGGCTGCCCTCCATCCTGCAGTCCCAAACTCATATACTGCTATGAATTAACAATGGGCAGTCAACTTAACGCCAGCTGAATTAAATCAGCATGGTGCTGAGTGTAGATGGTCCACCTGAGGAAAGTTGCCAGCATAAAAGTTGTGGGTTCTCCTAAGTGTCGTTGTTTGGAGCCATTGGTTCTCCTAGAGGAGCTTGTCATGATGGCTCCCTGATATGAATGTGGCCATTTTCATCAGAGGAGCTCGGGACCTTGTCTCTGATAGTGGCTGTGGTTCACTATGGAGGAGCTCTGGTTCTTACATCGAGCATCTGGAGAGGAAGATGTGTACTGTTTGATCTCCAGCAGTTGTCATACTGGCTTCCTGACATGTGTTCGACTATTCTCATTGTCAGAGGAGTTTGGTACCTCACTATTATAAGGATGGCTGTGGTACTTTTCAGGGGAGCCCTGGCCCTTATTTTGAGCATAACGTCTCAGTTGTACCGCAAAACCCTCAGCCTACTGGCACAGCTACTTCACCCCGCTAACACAGACTTTCTAGCTTCCACCACTGACCTTCGGTCCTTTCCAGTGCAGCTTCATAAAACAGACTTGTGTGAGCTCTTGTCGAGGGCTCTAGACCTCCAGCTGGACTCATGGGAGGCATTGTCACGGGCTCTAGCTCTTCATCTGGACTCACGCAGGACATTGCTGTGGGATCCAGGCCCTTGACTGAATATTCTGGGTCTTTAGTGTTGTGGACAGATTTCCTGCACTTCCTTGGACTAACTTCGGTGACCATCATAAATAATATTATAAATTCTGAGTCCTGATTGTAGTTGTTCTCCTTGCAACCCCTGACTGCTCTCCTCCGTCTTCTCTCTCCACAACCTGCTGCTACACCTGTTGGGCCTAAAGGAGGCCTTCTTTTGCCTCTGGTTGGCTCCTGTCAGCTAGCCCCTCTCTGCCTTCAAATGGAAAGACCCCAGTTTGGAACTCAAAAGATAATTGACCTGGATTCAGCCTCCCAGAGGGTCAAAAACTTGCTTACCTCTTTGAAGAAGCTCTCACAGTGGACCTCACAAGTTTCCCACCATAAAATTCCACTGCACGCTCCCTCCATCTGGTTAGTGTCACCCAAGCATCTGCTGAGAAGACACAAAAGCTCTACTGCGATATTTGACAGAAGCTGAATGTAAGATATCTTGAAGAAAAGACACAAATCAGAATATAAAAAGTCGGATATCTGGGATTTGACTTAAATCAGGAACACCGTGCCCTTAGACCAAAAATAGAGGTCATCTGCTCCTTCCCAGTCCCAACCACAAGAAAAAAAAAAATACTCTACAATGTTGCTTGGCTTCTACAGAATCTGGATCACTGGGCTTATGAAAAGCAAGGAACCTTATAATGTCTTGCCTAGAAAAGACTCTGACACTTTTAATTGGAACTTAGAACAAGAAAGAGTCTTCAGTGACATTAAAAGGCCCTTTCCACAGCTCTAACTTTGAGAAGTCCAGATGTCACTGGAATTCAGCTTGTTGGTTGATAAATGACGACATGTGGCTTGAAATTACACTTACACAGACTATCAGCCCCAGGGAGCGCCCGGTGGCCCACCGTGCAAACACTGGGATCCAGTCATGAGGGGCTGTGCCCCTTCCCTCCCCACTCTAGCAGCCACTGTTTTTCTGACCAAGAAAACCAACAAGCTAACAGTCCAGGTGCTACCTGCTGGACTGGACCTCCTGAATAACCATGGACATTGTCTTCTCTCCCACAGTCTGGTCACCCAGGACCAAGGACTTGTGCAAAAGTCCTCACCTGACTTTTGTGGCAAGAAAGTCACTCAGTTCTGCCACCTACTTGTCCCCCAAGCTGCACCCACCAGATGATGACTGCCTGGTACTAATTGATGAGCTGTTGTTGAGCCAACCAGATTTAAAGGCAGACCCCTGACCGATGCTGAGGACACCCTGTTTACGGATGAAGCGGCTCTATTAGGAATGGAGTCCAAGGGCAGATATGCTGGGTCACCTTGGACAAAGGTGGAAGCTGTCCTGCTGGGATGGCCTACCGAGTGAACTGAACTGTGGGCCTTTGATTGGTCTGAAAATGAAAAGTTCTGTTTCTTGCTGCTTTCTGAAAACCCACCAAAGTGATGAAGCAACTGCTAAAAGAGAACCCTGGGACAAAAACACCCTGCAGGACAAACTGTCATCCAACAAAGGTGGCCTATGCCTGGGTTCAAAAGTACCATGATCTAATCTGTGAAGGAAAAACAGCCATGAAAGAGCTCCTAGATAGCTACTATTACCTGGCCAGCATCTAGTCCACTGTCTTCTGACAATGTCAAAACTGCACTGAGTATAATTCAGGCCAGAAGCCTCTGCTCCATCTCCCTCTAGGGGTCCAATCCACTGAAACTCACCCTTTAATATATACAAATAGATTTCACTGAAGTAAAGATATATAAAGCCTGCAGATATCTATTGGTGCTTATATGCACCTACTTAGGCTGGCCCAACGCATTCCCTAACCTGCACAGAAGTTTGTAAGGTCCTGCTGTGAGAAATTGTCCTTAAATATGGGCCTACCCTTGACCATTGGCAGTGACAATGGGCCTGCATTTATGTCAGGATAACTCAAAACTGACAAAAATTACTAACAATTAAATAGAAACCATATATAGCAAACAGGCCCACAAAGCTCTGGACAAGTTAAGAGAATAAGAACAAACCCTACAGGAACATCTTGTAATCAGCCCCATAAAAATTTAGCTAAAATACCAGCTATACCTATAGGT